CAGGGCTGTACCTTGAATTGCCTCAAAGTTTTAGCATTTTAAAGATTTACTGTAATATTCCAATTACTCGCCTTCTCGGTAAGGGTAGACCCCCCATGATGCTATCTGAAGTTAATTAAATACTATTTTTGTAATGTCTAAGTACCAATATTCAAGAAACATTCTCATTTGGATGCATAATTAGATGTTTTTTCTTAAAATTGCCTCCTGTTTCACAATCGTCCATTTTTCCCAAAATTAGGGTAGAGAGTCCCCTTAAGCTCATTAATATCAAACCACTCAACTCATTTCAACAAAGGTATTTTCTCCAGGACAAGATTGTCCTGACTTGAACTAGTCATTTTTCAACTCTATGACTTTGCATGGCTCATATTCGTTACTCATTTCAACACTACAACTACTAAAAGATAAGCCGGTAATAAACCCAAAGTTGTTTGTCTATGAGACTGTCCCGACTAAAGCTAGTCAATATCAAAATCGTCGACGGTTCTTGAGGTCATTTTATCCACGAAATCCAGCGCTGTTCCTTCCATTGGCACTGGCAGGAAATAATAGGTAGAGGAGAACGAAATGCCTCCAGCAATGGCGAGGCCACCCGCCGGCGAACGGAATAAATCGACATCCAGCTATGGTCCTTGGTTCGGTTTTTTTATTTTATACGCTTTGGTAATGAAAAATTGTAAAAACTAGCATAAAAAGGCATAACGTGCTTGCCCATGTATAATGAAAGCATGAACGCTGTTAACCAATGAAAACGCGTACACCATCAAATGTTTATATAATACGATTTCCAAGTAAATCATTTTCCAAGTAAATCATTTACCCAGAATAAGGCCAGCGGAAGCTGGTTCAATCTGACAATCACATGATGTTTCATAAAATATTAAAACTTGAATATAAATATGAAACGGTCACAAACCTATCAAATCGTCAAACTTTTTAATTATAGCAAAGTCATGCTTACATCAAAAATCCTGTAACAAATAATATTTTATTATTAGGGCTTAACAATAGGGTATTCATGAGAGACTTTATTGCAGTAAGATATCCAACTTTGTTCCCTACGTTCATGGGTCTTTCGTGTTGTCACAAATATAGTTGACTCTTACATTATCAAGGCCCTGAGTAAATTCCAACAGGCGACTTTCAATTTGATCGACGACACTTAAGAAATAGAATACGATTAAGTTTAAAAAACCCAACTATCTAAACAGCAACAATAAGGCAAAAGGTTTATTTAGCAGAATTGTTTTAACTCTCAATATTATTAGGGCTCTAAGACTGGGTAAATTTTGATAGGTCACATTGCGTTGAAAAGCAGAAATGACAACAAGCAAATCCAACCATTTTCAAAATGCGATAGCCGGCTTCTACAAAAAAGCGATGTGGCAACTTTTCGTGACCTTGATACACAGCTGACCACCTTTAAAAGTTTGCGCTCAATACCGACAACCGCAAATAAGATATGTGAAAAACATGAATAATTAGTTTATTGAAGTTTTAACTTATACATACTACAAATTTGTTTCGTATGGCATACGAATCTTGCATGCGCACGTTTATTCATGCACCAAGACATTCACCTGATGAGTGCGACAAGTCTGATGCTATTTTCTAAAAAGTGAGTAGAACTACTTAAATTACGACTATGGTGGCTTCCTCTACTATATAGAGTCTTATTACATTTAAGGTATAATAATATTCACAAGTAAAACATACAGAAGAGTGCAAATAAATGTTCTCAGTTCCAACTGAAACTAATCAACCTTGTTCACATAATCGTCCACAACTCTTGTACTCTTTATATCCAGGAACGCCATTGCTGTTTCTTCCAATTCGTTCAAGCAGTCATGGAGGAAATAATAGGTGGAAGAAAACGAAATGCTTCCAGCAATAAGGCTTCCTAAGAACGGAATGTATCGAGCAGTTTCTTCAACTGCGGAACTCGCAGTGTAAGCTGCCACAAGACTTGTAGTTTGTATCGCGCTTGTCATACAAAACTTGTGGACTTTATCCTGATTTTCTGGAGTCATTCTGCGGAACTCGTAAGAATTTTCCTCAGGTAGGCCGAGCTGAGATTTGTACAGATTCACTTCTTTTGTCAAAAGGATGGCATCTATTGCAAAGGAAAATCCAGGAAATGGAACTGCCCCGACTACAGCGGAAGCGGCTGCGACCATCCAAATTTGATCTGAAACAAAGAGGAGTATTGATAAAAAATATGATAATAAACACCATTCCTTACACTATCCTCCCTTTCGGTATGTCCTTCAACTAACAATACCACCAATACCTTGTTTTCAATACAACTTCGAATATAAACAACTTAGTATATCCCTAATTTACCCCTCTGTCACCACTTGGTGGAGAAAGCCCACGCAGATTAAAGGACTTTGCGACTCCATATCAACAAATTTATTTACGCATACCTCGAAGTAATTTAACCTTTTCTTTTAAAATATTCTTAGAGTGGCTTGTTAAGGACAGCGTTAAACTTTGTTTTTGACGTAGTGGCAAGACATCCAGAATGGCCTCTTGCAAACGAGCAAAATCCCACTTGGCCGTTTTACGATTACTAACGAGAAAGACCGCTACATCGCCGAAACTTGAGCGTTTCAAATTTTTCAAACAGTCTCCTCTAATGTCGTTCAACGTTGCTTCTTCATTAAATGCATTCTTGTCGCTTTCATTATCGACGTCCTGATCGATCTTGGTGCGCACAAAAAAGAACGACTTTTTCATTTCTTTAACTCTTTTGGCTAACTGCAGATCGTTATGAGTGAAGCGACCAGCGGTTAAGATTAGAAAGGTGTCGTACCTCTCCAAGCTGACTTTCTTGCTGTAGGTGTCAAGATCTGGGTAGTTTGGAGTGCCTGCAAGTGATAGTCGTTTGACTTATTAGTATGTTATTGTAATTGCGCTGTGAAAGTGGTCAATTTACGTGTCAAAGTGATAAGTGCTTTTGGATTCTTGCAACATGGACTTGTCTGAACCTTTTTAATATATTGTTGTTTGTGGTGTTACTCTGAGTGTATCCACCCCGGGCAGGCTGAAAAGTTTGCCTGACCACCGTGGGAATATTATCTCCACAATCATCACCACTACTTCTATCACCATGCATCACCACCGTTATCATCATATCACCCTATCATTATAATGAATACTGCCACGTTACGACCATAACATCATTATCTGAGTCCAGTCCTTATTCGAAAAGAGGACCACATTCCTTATTCGTCCTTATTTTATCAATGTATTGTACCAACAACTGGTACATACCTATACCAGGTAGATCCCAAAACTTTATTTTGTCATTTTTAGGATGAGAGTAGGCAGTGGCTTTTCTGGTTGTCTCTTTGACGCCTGTCACCGCAGCGCCTTCGTCGTCTACTTTAAGTCTGGTTAAATTGAAATCATAAAATAGAATTATTCTCACCGAGTGTCATAGTGACACTTCAGGGAAAAGAATCAATCTCTTAAATTTATAAAGTCAGTCAGTTATCATTGCGGGAGGGGTTAGCTTCTAGTTCTAGTATTAATTTAGCTAGTGATATTTCCAAAACCGCGGCACTCCTCTCGCCCAAAGAACGTGTAATGTTAAGTTTTCGTGTCAGGAATGCGACTACATTGTCTACATTTCTATCATCGTGAATCGACAATTTAGTCGAAATTGCGACGTTTAGTGACTGGTCTGCGGGAAATTGTTCTGAAATTAGTTATTAATAGTTTGACATTTTAGCAGTAATCGGCGTAGCTAATGTGGTCGCATTTCTGAATGTTTTGACACGAAAACACATGTTTTTTAGGGCGAGTACTGAGAAGGATCTGCGCTTTTGGTGATACCATTACAACTTTAATATTATTTTTTAGAGAAAATGATTTCTTGGATATTGCTTGGACATAGCACAATGTCGGCACTTTTTGGGTAATGTCAATTGTAAAATAAACTTACTTTCCATTCAGAACTTCCGTTGAAAAGTTCAAACATGCATGCATGTATGAGATCTATGACAGCGTTATTATAAGGTTTGATTTGCCCAGCGACCCGTTTAATTAAGTTAAATTGGCTTTTTTCTACAAACCCTATACCTCTCTAGATACTCACTGCCTGCTGATAAATACTGCCTCTCCAGATTCTTGGATAGAAACTTGCGCTTAATTAATGTACATGTTTAATAGAATATTTAAATCGCTTACCCTCGTATGGCGTTTATAAAGGTGGACTTTCCAACGCCGGAATCACCTGTTATGCCGAATTTTATTTCGACGTCTTTCCATCTTTCGAGCTTTTCTTTTAAAAATTCTTCTAGGTTAGCTATGCCATGTTGTTCAAAGTATTTTCCCACTTCTTCCAAGTCGTCCATAGTTCTACCAGATGAGTCGCCCATAGTTTTAACAGAAGAGTTGCCCATACATTTCCCAGATGAGTTGCCCATAGTTTTGGCAGACGAGTTGCCCATAGTTTTGCCAGATGAGTCGTCCATAGACGTAGTTTACCAGATGAGTTGCCCATACGTTTAACAGATGAGTCGCCCATAGTTTTGCCAGATGAGTCATCCATAGATTTGCCAGATGGGTGGCGCACAGGTTTTACCGATGAGTGCCGCGTAGGTTTACTACACGAGACGCCCATAGTTTCGAATGTTTGAAGCTTTTGGCTTTAATAACAAAACCAGCCTACTTTAAACAAGTCCAACTTGTGAATGTTTTATGAATAAACGACGCTTGCATGCATGATAGCACAAAACCGTGCTACCGCGTGAAGGTTGGGAGAACTCCAAGGCAGATCAATGTAAAGATTTATTTTATCAGGTACTCACACTGCTCGAAAGTTGTTTAACGTTCCTCGAGGTTTGTGGGGACATGAATTAAAACGTTTTTTATTTGTTTTATAGAATAATTACACTGAAAGGAATAGAGTAGTTCGAAAGGACAACACAAATATAAAACCCGTATTTCATCTGATTTCTTCTTACCTGTCGCCCTTTTTTTAGAACCTAGTAAAAAAAAACCGTGGCGAGGGTATAGCCATGGCAACTGGTCATCATGCCATGCAACCAAATAAACGTCCTCTAGCTTATACAGTAGGGGCTGTTAAGTTTATACGGAAGTCGGGCTCATGGCCTGCTGAGCAAGACAGACCAGTAAGCGGGGTAAATTTCTCTTGTGTTTATTTGAGAAAATATCATCCCGCTTGCCGGGACAATTTTGTTACATTGATATTGTTTTGACAGTTGTTAAAAATAGCTTGGGCGGCATCATTGAACTTTCATCCCGGCAACCGGGCTAGCCCGCATGTGAGTGTTTATACGGAGAAATTTTCACCCCGGTAAGCGAGATCTCGCTTACCAGGTTGTCTTGCTAAGCAGGCCAGTCCGGCTTCCGTATACAGCTATTTCACTTAAGGTTGTCCCCCGAGCAAAGCGGAAAAGTCGAATACGAATTGAATTAATTTATAAAAATGAATTAATTTATAGCGATTCCCAGCAGCCTTTCGCGCTCGTATTCGACTTTTCCGCTTTGCTCGGGGGACAACCTTAAGTGAAATAGCTGTAAACAATATAGCCATAGGTATAGCTGTAATATGCCTAGCTACGCTACTGGCAAAATGCAATTGGTTTTCCATAAGTCTTGACAATATTTCATATTTTGGCATATTGTTTTTTGTATGTTTCTTGTTTTGTAAGGAGCTGGTGGTGAAAACATGGTTATCAGCCAATCAAAAAGTATCAAATCGCGTCTATGATAAAAATAATTTAAACTTATTTAAATATTAATAATACGGTTTCTCCGTATTAAGTCGTCTTCCAAGAAAAAGGCCGATATAGCAGTTGGTTTCATAATCGCATGATGTTGTTTCATTATTTCACAATACAAAAGGTATAGACCAGAAAGCTACGGGTTGAGAGGAATTCGACTACCTGAAAAATAGAAGTAAAACGCGACGTTTCGAGCGGAAGGCCCTTCGTCGAGAAGTTAATAGCTTATATATATTCAATCAGTGGTTTCAACCAATTAAAAGAAATAACCACAGTTGTTTAAGACATAGCCAGACGGGCAAGGGAAAGCCAAGCTTACATTCTGCGATCAATATACAATATAGCAATTATAGCAGTTCAAGCAGCCGACAACAATGCGGATATGAATCTTTTTATAGGTTCAATTAAGAGAACTCTCTGTACTATTATAGCCTATAAAGAATTGCCTGCAGTAAAAATTGCCAACAACCTCGTTCTCTGGCTCTTTCATCCTGCAAATATAGTTCGCTTTTAAGACTTAACATTAGCCGCGCATTATAAACAGTAAATTCCGAAAGGCGATATTGAATTTGAATTTTAATGCCGACATAATAAGAAATTGAATGGCGATATATTTTGAAACATACCGACTATCTAAACAGGAACAATGGGACAAAAAGTTTAACTAACCGGCTTTAATTCCTGGAAGTATTAACATAATGTATTTTGGTTCCATACATTGTTTTTAAAGGGTGCCCCCCCCCCCCCTCTCCCCACATGCACACACCGCACGCTACGTTTGCATCTCTTTCCTTACTGACACTAATCACTTTCCTCGCTTCAGGGTTTCGAAGCAGCCTCGTACCCAGGCTCTTTCGTAATTAATAGCGTTCTGAGCTCTGGGTGAGCTTTTAGGCGCGCGGGGAATCTTGGGGAGGTTGCAGCACCTAGAGCTCAGAACGCTATTAATTACGAAAGAGCCTGGGTACGAGGCTGGTTTCGAAGGGTGTTCCTCTCCCCGCCCACACATACACACACCCGGAATTTCAATGAACTAAACTGCAATGACGGCAAAAAATCAAATGCGAAACTATAGCCCAACGCGAAACTGATTCGAGTATATGATCTTCGGTTTATCCCAACTGTTAAAACTTTGCCAAAACTGCCCTGCAAATTGTAGTCATTTTCACTACTCTGTAAGACAATAGTTCAACAACGCAACGAATAATAATTAAAGGCCTTTTATTTCATCAGACTAACCAAACTGGCTCTATAGTAATTTTCATCACTCAAGCAGCATTTTAATTTAATTGAAACCCCAAGAAGTTGACGACAACTTTCTTTTACTCCGAACTGAAACTAGTCAATATCAAAATCGTCGACGGTCATTACTCATTTCAACACTACAGAACAACTACTAGAAAACAAAGTCAAGGAGCAATTATAAACCGAAAGGTTTTAATCTTTTATGACAACAAGACTGCCCTGACTTGAACTAGTCATTATTCTCAACTGCAGTATGGCTTTGTATGTCACATATTCGTTACTCATTTCGAAACTAGCTATACAACTAGTCAACTACTAAAAAACAATGAGTAATAATAAACCCAAAGGTTGTTTCTTTATGACAAGACTGTCCTGACTTGAACTAGTCGTTACTCTTGACTGTATGCAGGCTTTTTATGGCTCATATTGCGGCGTCACTCATTTCAACACTACAACTACTATAAAACAAGGAGTAATAAACCCAACGGTTCTTTGTCTATGATAAGACTATCCCGATTAAAACCAAAATATCAAAACTGTGGACGGTTCTTGAATCTCAGTCATTTCATCTACGAAATCCAGCGCTGTTTCTTTCAATTCTTTCAGACATTGATGCAGGAAATAATAAGTGGAGGAGAACGAAATGCCTCCAGTAATAGCGAGGCCGACGAACGGAATAAAACGAGCAAATTCTTCAACTGCCGACCCAGCAGTGTATACGTTGCAAGAAACGACAGCGAACTTTCTCCTGCTTTTCAGGCATTATTTTTTTGAATTTGTACGAGTTTTCATCAGGAAGGCCAAGTTGGGATTAATAGAAGAAACTCACTTCGTTTGTCAGAAGAACGAGATCAACGGCAACATTCAACCCAGGCATGCAGAGGAAATGCCGCAGCGGCAGTTAAAATGCTATTCCGTCAAATATTTTTTAACAATACGATTTCCAAGTATAAGTCATTTTCCAAGTAAATCATTTACCCAGAATAAGGCCAGCGTCAGCTCGTTTCACAATCTGACAATCACATGATGTTTCATAAAATATTAAAACTCGCAATAAATTAAATATGAAACGGTCACAAACAATATCAAATCGTCAAACTTTTAATTATAGCAAAGTCATGCTTACATCAAATATCCTGTAACAAGTAATATTATATTATTAGGGCTTAACAATGGGGTATTCATGAGAGACTTCATTGCAGTAAGATATCCAACTTTGTTCCCTTCATGGGTCTTTCGTGTAAATATGTATAAACTATAGTTTACTCTTCCACAATTAGTGCGCGGAGTAAATTCCGACAGCCGACTTTCAATTTGATTGAGGACATGCATGCATGCATGCATGCACTTAAGAAATAGAACACAATTAAATTTAGAAAACACCAACTGTATCTAAACAGCAACAATAAGGCAAAAAGTTTACCTAGCAGAATTGTTTTAACCGTCAATATTATTAGGGCTCTAAGACTTGGTAAATTTTGATAGGTGACATTGCGTTGAAAAGCAGACATGACAAGCAAAACCAACCTTTAATTTTCAAAATGCGATAGCGACAAAAAAGGTTAAACATTAGAAAAAAGCGATGTGGCAACTTTTCGTGACTCTGGCACACCGATCACCTACAAAAGCGCGCGCTTAACACGAACAACAGCAACTAAGATAGATGAAAAACATGAATTACTTTATTTAAGTTGAAACTTATACATACTGCAAATTTGTTTCGTATGACAAACGAATCTTGCGCACGTTTATCCCCAAGACGTTGAGTGAGTGCGACAAGTCTGACGCTGTTTTCTAGAAAGTGACTAGAACTCCTTAAATTACGACTATGGTGGCCTCTACTATATAGAGAGTCTTATTAAATTTATGGTCTTACTTTTTTGTTAATATTCACAAGTAAAATATACAGAAGAGTGAAAGTAAATGTTCTCAATTCCAACTGAAACTAGTCAACCTGGTTCACATAATTGTCCACAACTCTTGTACTTGTTGCATCCAGGAACACCATTGCTGTTTCTTCCAATTCCTTCAAGCATTCATGGAGGAAATAATAGGTAGAAGAAAACGAAATGCCTCCTGCAATAAGGCTTCCTACGATCGGAATGTATCGAGTAGCTTCTTCAACTGCGGAACTTGCTGCATAAGCTGCCAGAAGATTTGCCATTTGAAGCGCACTTGTCACACAAAATTTGCGGACTTTTTCCTGGTTTTGTGGAGTCATTCTCTTGAACTCGTATGAATTTTCCTCGGGTAAGCCGAGCTGAGATTTGTAGAAATTCATTTCTTTTGTTAAAAGGGCGAGATCTAACGCAATGGATACTCCAGGCAGTGGAACGACGGCGCCAACAGCGGAAGTAGATGCGACTATCCAAATTCGACCTGAAACGAATTAGAGTATTGGTAAAAATGTAAAATACACTCTTTCCGTTCACTATCCTTCCTTTCAATATGATTAACATATTAACAACAGAGAGGGATTCAGTCACAGATTTGTTCCTTTCTCTCGATACAATTTCGAGTGAAAACAACTTGTTATTCTCTAATGTGTACTATTATCACCACTTAATCAAGAAAGAAGAGACAGGCAGAGTAAAGTCTGTAAAGGCCCTACGACTCAATATCAACAAATTTTTATTTACGCCAAATTATTTTATACTTTCTAACTACCTCGAAGTATTTCAACCTTTCGTTTCAAAATATCCTTAGAGTGGCTTGTTAACAAGTCTAAGGACAGTGTTAAACTTTCCTTTTGACGAAGCGGCAAGACATCCAGAATGGCCTGTGTGAGACGATCAAAATCCCACTTGTCGGAATCATGATTGCTAATGAGAAATAACACTTCATCGTAGGCTCCCACGTCTTCTAAATTATCCAAACAATCTTTTCTAATGACGCTCAACGTTGTTTCTTCATTAAATGCTTTCTTTCGACTTTCGTTTATGACGTCCTGATCGATCTTGGTGCGTACAAAAAAGAACGACTTTTTCATGGATTTCACTTTTTGGGCTAATAGGAGATCGTTTTCGGTGAAGCGGCCAGCAGTTAAGATCAGGAAGGTGTCGTATTTCTCCAAGCCGACTTTGTCACTGTAGGTGTCAGTGGGGTAGTTTGGAGTACCTGCAATTATTAGTTCGTTGAGTTGTTATTGAATTCTTGTGATAGTGGTGTCAAGTGGTTGTTAGTACACGTGCCTTACACCTTCCATTCCTGTAATTTAGAGTTGTTTGATTATAATTTCCTCGTGGTAGCAATCACTGTGAACACTACTGCTACCATCTTGAAAACTGCAGACATTAGAAAACCGTCACCATAACACCACCACCATCCTCGTTACAACCATAATCACGTTACCACAATTAGCACCATCACCATTCTTATCGCCGCCACCATGATCACGGCCATTATCATCACCGCCATCCTCATCCCACCTTTACCATTCTCACTGGAAAACATAGTGAAATTCATATACTATGGAATTTGCGATTGCATCACTAAATCCATAGCATATCTATACTATTTCCATAATATATCCATAGTATGAAAATTGCATTTAGTATAAAAATTGGATTTTTATACTATTTCCAACTAAGATCCATACTATTTTCGAAAATAATTTCTAGTGTCTCGACATCATTGATCATAAGCTTTGTATCATCATTCCAGTCATCAGCGTTACTATCTCAACAATCATCACCATAACTACCATCATAGCCATCACCACCATCATAGCCCAGCCATTTCAATGAATACTGCAACTCTGTAATTAACTACAACCACCATAATCTCCATCATTAGCATTACTCTCACGATAAGCATTACGACCACAGCCACCACAATAAAGTACTGCACTGCAAAAAATGAAAAGCTTATTTTAAGAAAAAAAAATTTGTTTTGAGCAAAAATTTCTTAATTTAAGCAAAATTATCTTGTCCCATACATAGGAAAATTTTTCCATATAAGATTTTCTTGATCGAGAAAAATTTTCTTGATTTGAGAAATTTAATCTTACCAAGAAAATTGATTTAAGATAATTTTTCTTTTTGTCCCATACATAGGAAAATATTTCTTGGCTAGAAAATTATTCTTGATAAAAGAAAAATAATCTTACAAAAATGGAACGAATCTTACTAAAAATCTTAGCAAGATTAGTATTAATCTTACCAAGATAAATATAAATCTTATTAAGATTTTTGAAACAAGAAAACTTATATATACACTTGCTTGAACTTAAAAGATAATTTTTCTCAAACCTAAGATTATTTTT